TTTCCCTTTCTCTTTCTCTTTTTCCCCTCCATCCTCCCCTCAGCTGACAGTACAGTGGCGACTGCAGTGAGCACATTAGACAAGCTTTTTGTTATGTTGATTAATGATAAAAGCAAATCCATAAATAATATAGATTATTTATTCCATTTATTCACATGCTAATTAGAGCTGGAAGCAGATACCTCAGAGAGATGGCCTTTTTTTTTTCCCTCATCCGTTCCAGTGCAGTCAGATAGACCAACTGACATTCAGACAGAGACAGAGACAGTCACATATTAATGTCATTCACACTTTGAAGCACCAATGGTATCTTGTGATGGGGACACGTCCACCCTTCATTTCTCCCTAATGAGGTCATGATAGAGGCCAGTGGTTTCGGCACACACACACACCCTCTGTTTTGACTCTCTGCACGCTCTTGACGAGCGGATGGATTGACAGGGTCGTCTTTGATTGATGCACCGCGGTTCTTCCACATGTTCTACAGCTCAGTCATTTAATTATGTTTCCTAAGCATCATTAAGTACCATTATATTCTATCATATTCTAATGAGAGAGGTGGCCAGTCGCAGGACAAGCTAATTGGTGATTAATGTTGTGTATCAGTGAGAGACAATGCAAGATTGGCCATTTAATGATACAACACTGTATTTAAGTGCTGAATATGTAAAAACACAAACAGAGGAGGGGGAAATTAGAGAAGCCGTGATTGAAATCAAAACAGATATCGGCTCTTACAGGTCTAATCTCTCTCTCACTCCCCCCCGCCACCCGGTTTACACACACACACACACACATACACACACACATACACACACGCACACACACACACGTCCTGCATTATTCTGAATTGTTCACCTCTTAGCTGTATTACACACACTTACTCAGATAATGCTGGAAACCATCTCCACAGGCATAACTCACCTGCTCCTCGAGATTAACAACTAACTCAGTATTGATGCACTGCTTCCCAGGTACATACACGTTTGACAATGCACACACACAAACACACACACACACACACAACACAGAGACACACAGACACAAACATCCTCGTTTGGTATTGACATGCCGCGCGGCTGTAGGTGTTTCCATTTAAGGTCAGTCGATTGCCTTAAGTATGTAATGTTAGGAGGGGGGTCCGTAAACATGTCAAATTAGCAGTAATGAATGACCAGGCACCGGCAGGGGGAACTGTCAGGGTGCACGCCCAGGACAATACATTACCCTGAGTTATCCTAGTCTGCCCTCCTTGTAACACACACACACACAAACTAGTGGGACCCATTGAGCGGTCACACACT